ACGAAAATGACTGACCGTACTGGGAAACTACGGTGGGGGGAGGGAGATGGGATTAACAGTAGCAAATATCTGTCTGGGAACGGGGAAACACCCCATATCAACAGGGTACCTGAATGAAACACAATTGTATACCTAACCCTTAACTGTACCCTCAACTTCACAATAAAAAAAAAATTTGTTTTAACAAATAAAAATAATTTAATGTATAAAATTATAATATGTAACTATAAAACCATTACAACCATAGAAAATATTATCTATAACCACATACATCTATATCACATATACACATCTATGATAGATATATGTATATATATGTATTTATATACAGTGATGCGTTGTATAACAACTAGGATATGTTCTGCGACATGCCTTGTTAGGCAATTTCATTGTGTGAACATCATTTGTGCTGACACAAATCTAGGTAGTGCAGCCTATTACACACCTAGGTTATATTGTATGGCCTATTGTTTTTAGGCTGCAAACCTGTACAGTATGCTACTGTACTAAATACTGAATTGTAATAAAAAAGTAACCATTTGTGTATCTAGACATATATTATCTAAAAATATAGCATAAAAGATAAAAAACAGTACACTATATAGGGCACTTAACATGAATGAAATTTGCAGGTCTGGAAGTTGCTCTGGGTGAGTCAGAGAGTGAATAGTAAGTGAATGAGAAGGCTTAAGATGTTGTACTACTATAGGCTTAAGAGACACTGTACACTGAGGCTGCAGTCAATTAATTAAAAATATTATTTTTTCTTCAATAACAAGTTAACATTATCTTACTATAATTTTTTACTTTATAAACTTTTTATTTTTTAAATTTTTTGACTTTTTGTAATAACAGCTTGAAAGAGTCTAAAGCTGTATGAAAAATATATTTTTAATTACTTTATTCTATAAGCTTTTCATATTTTAAAAATTATTTATTTTTCTTACTTTTAGGCTTTTTTGTTAAAAATTAAACCACATACATACTCATAAGCTTAGGCATACACAGTGGCAGGATCAATAATACATCATCAGACAGTATATATTTTTTAGCTCAATTATGATCTTATGGGCCAACTGCATGTATGTATATATGCATATATGTAGATATCCACAAACAAATATCATTTTCTTTTCTAAATCTTCATTAATTCATTTTTTTCAGTATTCTAATTCACCTATTTTTTTCTTCACTTTCAATTCTTTTATTTACTTTTTCTAACTCATTTAATATTCTGTCCTCACAATATGTGAATTTGTCATCTATTTTTATACTTTTTGTCAGTGTTTTTCCATCTCATGTGTATTCATTTTTCTCCTCTCATATGTTAAATAATAAAGTGTACTTGGTTTTTATATATTCTCCTTGCTCTTAGAGTAAATCATCTACAAAAGCATTTTCTCCATGGATCTGCCAGTATTGTGAAATTATCACGGGTTTCTCTTTTTGTTGTTTTCTTAAATTCACCTTTTATTATTCTTCCCTTTAGTAACAGTTTTAATGGGACCCAATTTGACCCAGTCAGAGAATATATTGCTTAGTCACTAGTCAGTTAGATATGAGTGATCATATTACTAAGTTCAGGCTGAGGCAATGTAAATGAAATTGATTTGTGTGATTCTAGTGTGCTTCCCTAAAGACAGGATGCTTGCTTTATATTTCACTTTCCTTACCAAGTAGGCTGGAAAATGTCAACAACTGAATTAATTGTCCTTTTTCCAGAAATGGAAATCAATGACAGATGACAGAGACATTTTTGTTACACTAGGTCCTTGAATAAGCTCGAGGTGACTACTTATCCATATTTTAAAATATTTTTATTATAGTCATTCAGTCCAGATCAAATTTTCTCATCCTCAGTATTATTGACATTTGGGGCTAAATAATTCTTTGTTGTAGAAGGCTGTCCTGTGTGTTACTGAGTGTTTAGCAGCATTCATAGCCATGACTTCTAGATGTCTATTGCATCTCTTCGGTTATAATAAGCAAAAATGCCTCCAGATTTTAGCAAATGTTTTCTACGGGACAAATTTGTCCCTGCTTGAGAAAAATTAGTCTGCAGACTAATGCAGAAATTTCTTTCTGCAGTGAGTGATGCCTAAATAAAACATAAAATATTGCATTCACTTAGGAGTCATTTGAGAAGAAATAAAGAGGCATGGAAATCTGGAAGGTGGTGATAATTTTTTTGCTGTGTCATTGGCTAAAACTGTTGCCTGTGGTATTGTAGTAGGCAGAAAAAATTCCTACAAGAGACTAAAGCTACAGGGGAAATGCTTAAAAAGAGGCAGAATATCAGTGGATTTTTGCTGTTACATGCTGTTTTTAGTAAAATACTATAACAAAAAATGAGCACACCCAGGAAAAACTGAATAGTTGCAATCAGAAATATAGGCGACAGAACTTTTTAAGAGAGACAATCTACAATTGGCTAGTAGGCTAGAAAAATAAGTTCTCTCAGAGTTGAAAAAGTCAACTGCCTAATAACACAAACAAGAGGAGAAAGATTTTCACTTATGGCTTGTCCTAAAGACCTCCAATTTGGACTTTCCAGCTAAAAATACAAGAAAGCTATAGGCAAAAATCACATTACAGATGTTGCCTTCCTATCACTGCCTACTTTTTCAACTGGCCAGATGTTAGTCATACTTAAAGAAAAGTGGGCCTAGAAAGTTGTTTTTTAATTAATTAAAAACAAGAGTCAGAAAGTTAAGAAATATTAACTGAAAGATATTTTTGATGAAGTTCTTTTGCATAGAATTAAATAGTCCAGAAACACTGATTCTTGAGAAAGTTGAAAAACCAATAGTTTGGCCTTTGAATTGTTTTAAATTGTTTGATATAAAAATACACCCTTGGTTTCTTAAAACTGTACCAGCAAAAAGGCAGCTAGAAAACCTGTGTTGTGGCCCAACTCTCCAACGTCTGCTTCAGAAAATGCTGTGGAAGTTAAGAAAACAAGGAAAATTTTCCAGCTGGTCAAACTAAAGCCCAGAAAAGGACAATGAATAAGAAATTTCCTCCCAGAGAACAGAACCAATTAAACCAAGGAAATTTTCTATTGTCAGGTCAGGGTGTTCTTAAAATTCTGACCCAGCATGGTTCATTTCACAACAGTAATGAACCAATGACTGTTTTAGAAAAGCATTTTTTATGGCAGTTATCCTATTCTTTTCCACCATTGTATATTGGGCATGGAGTTGAGGGAGTGGGAAATATGAGAAAAATGATCATGCTTTTGAATGTGCCAGATCATTGGGCTCCCACTGGATCACCTAGAAAAAAATTGTGCATCATTCAGAGATACCCAGTTTTGAGTGGGTTGCAGTAACTGGAAAAGACATTTTACTGTGTAGTACCTCTTGGAGAAAGGATGTTTTCTCTGTGTTAAAAAAAAATACATGGGCTGGGCTCGGTGGCTCAGCCTGTAATCCTAGCACTTTGGGAGGCCGAGGCAAGTGGATTGCCTGAGCCCGCGGGTTCAAGACCAGTCTGGGTAACTTGCCTAGACCTTGTCTCTGTAATAAATAAAAAATTAGCCAGGCATGGTGGAGTGCATCTGTAGTTTTGGCTACTTGGAAGACTGAGGCAGAAGGATCGCCAGAGACCAACAGGTTGACTCTGGGGTGGCCGTAAGCGTGCTACTGCACTCCAGCCTGGGCGATGGAGTGAGACTCCAACTCAAAAACAAAAACAAAAACATGAATACTTGGGTGGCCCCAGCAACAGTCTGTCAGAAACCATTATTTTTTCCCCAGTATTTATTCCCTTCTACTTCTTTTTAGTAATAAACTCTATTTTTAGTTTGGTACAAGGTATCCAGCTAGAGAGAATACATTCTTAATTGTCCCTTGAAAAATTGGCCTTATATTACAACCAATAGCTAGTAGAATAAGTGAAAACAAATTTCTGAATTTTTGAATCATGTATTTATAAGAAAACTAATTGCCTTTCAATAACTTCCCTCTGGAGGTTGGCAATCAAGTATCACAAGCTTGGTCAGACAGCTCATACACAGACTGAACCTACTTACAGAAAGTAGCAGATTTGTTTTACCAGTTTGGTTGCCTAGATGACCTCACAAAAGAAAGGCCACTTTCATGTGAGAGAGTAATATGCTTTAATTTTGTTTTAACTCTGGACATTTTAGTTCTCTTTGTTAACCCTGTACCTTAACTCACACATCTCTCCTGGGATTACCATAGCATTATTGACATTCTCTTTAAAAACACATTGAAGTTTGAGGTGTATCAAAATTTGTACTTGAAACTCAGTTATTCAGGATATTGAATATATACAGTGATCTGGAATTATGGAACATAGGCTATTATAATGGAGAAAAGTTATTCTGCATTTTTACTCTTACTTTGGTGAAAGCGTTGTCCTGAACTAACTTTTTGTCCACAGAACAAGGCAATATATTTTCCAATAAGTATTGTTTTTTCTATGCTTTTTGAAAATCACTTTTTGTTTTCTAATATAGAAAAAAATTATATCTTTATTTTTCTCTGATGACTAAACTAGTTACATATATATATTTTTAATTTACCTCGAAAATTCAGTTTTAGGACTTGTCAATTATACTATCTATTAAATAATATCTGTTTTAAAATGAAACAATTACTTTTCAATTTACAACCTGAGTTTAATTTGTAACTCTTTTTCTGACAGACATGTGTGTGTACTCGTGTGCACTCTACATACACACAGACATAATTCTTTCCTTGGGATTAATTTCTTATCTTTTAAAAAAATTATTAGATTTTAAAGTGTCAGTCATTTGTCTTTTTTTCCTGTTTATCAAAAAAGTCCACTTAGTTGAGCTTTAATGGTATCCATGAGCTCTTATATGTATTTACTTTTCACTTTATTTAGCCACTTTCATTGTTTCGCAGTTTGTCAATTTTTACTCTACCCTTTCCCAACAACTTGGGCTTTGTCTTGTTTTCATCTTCAAATAGTTATACAATAACAAAGTTAGACTGAAATAAAAAGAGAGATTCAGCTTATTCAACTCACTTTAATAGGCACTTACATATCCTCCCTAAAAAGCACAATGTTGAAAATCAAATTCATGCAAAGAATAGGAAAATGCATGACTGAATGGAAATGAATTGGTGGGCTGATGTTAAGAGTTCCTGATGGCCCATTGTTGGTCTGTTACATAGGTCTTGATCTATTGGGCAGGTTTTCACAAAAGCCAAATGGAGATGTAAAAGAACTAAACTGACTTGAAGGCTATGGACAGAAAGCAGGAGGAAGTAATACCATTTCAACTACAAGCTGCTGAGGGCATCTACTCCAGGAAGGGTTTTACCTTCCAGAAGCTCTAGACTGGCACCGCCTCCAGTGCTCACATGGCTGACTTTGTCTTCAGTGTTCCATTTGGCACAGCAAGTAGCAGTGTCTCCACCACCTATAATGGTGATGCAGCCTTTGGAAGTGGCTTTCACAATTTCATCCATGAGGACTTTGGTTCCCTTAGCAAAGGCATCCCACTCAAATACTCCTAAAGGTCCATTCCAAACAATTAGCTTTGCTTGGGTCACAACTTGAGCATGCTTTTTGTTGCTCTCAGGACCACAGTCCAAACCCATCCAGCCAGAAGGTATGCCAGATGATACAGTGGCTTGTCCAACTTGAGCATTCTCATCAAACTTGTCAGCAGTGACAAAGTCAACAGGAAAAGTAATCTTTACATTATTCTTCTGTGCTTTGGCCATGATATCTTTGACGATCTTTGCTCCCTCTTCATCAAACAGGGACGCACCAATCTCCATGTTATTGAGTACCTTAAGGAAGGTATAAGCCATTCCACCACCAATAATCATCTCGTTGACTTTATCTAGCATGTTTTTGATGAGTTGAATCTTGTCTGCTACTTTGGCTCCACCAAGTATAGCCAGAAAGGGTCTCACTGGGTTTTCCAAGGCTTTGGCAAAGTAATCTAGCTCCTTCTTCATCAGGAATCCAGAAGCCTTCTGGGGCAGATTCACTCCCACCATGGAACTGTGAGCCCGGTGTGCAGTGCCAAAAGCATCATTGACATAGACATCCCCTAGCTTGGAGAGTGATGCTCGGAAGGCTTCTATTTTATCTGGCTCAGCTTTAAACTTCTTTCCAGAAGGATCTTGACCTTTCCCTTCTTCCTCTACATGAAAACGCAGGTTCTCCAGCAGGATGATTGAACCAGTAGCTGGGCTGGCACAGGTTTTCTCTACGTCTGAGCCTACACAGTCCTTCAGGAATACAACATCCTTTCCCAACAAGGATTTGAGTTCAGCAGCAACAGGCTCTAGCGAGTATTTATCAGGCATGGGGATACCATCAGGCCGACCTAGATGACTCATAAGAACTACTGACTGAGCGCCATTATCCAGGCAGTACTTGATGCTTGGGATGGAAGCCTTGATTCTCTGGTTGTTGGTAATCTGATTATTCTTCATGGGAACATTGAAGTCTACTCTCATGATGACTCGCTTCTCTCTAACATCCAGTTTGTCTAAAGTCAACTTATTAGAGAGAGACATCTTGACAATACAAAGACAAAGGCTGACACCTGGATGTTAAAGCTGAAAAACCACTTGCTGGTGGGAGGCTGGGTGGGTGGCGATTTCTAACGCATTTCTCCTTGCCCCCTCCCCTTCCTCCTCAACACTGTCTCCAGAGCGACAGCCTTTGTTAGATTGGCAAAAGAAATCTAGCTCTGCGATTGGCCCATGGTCTTGTCAATCTTTGTTTGAAGTATGTTGCTAGGTGCTGTTTCAAACTGCCTGGCAGAAGGTTATATAGTGGAGTTGTGGTATCTGGCTTGGGATAAGACTCGGGAAGGTGAAGAAACTCAGGAGGAATAATGATCTTAAAGTCTGAGACTCCCGATGGCTCTTTGTTTCCCTCACAACCCCTTTAACAGTTGTTCTCCTTTTAAAAAACAAAACAAATACAAAAAATAAAAACAGAAGCCCCCCTAAAACCTGCATACCACTCATTCACGTCAAATCTTAACGATATTGATATGTAAAAGCCGCTGCAGTGCCAAAAAAAAGGGGGAGAATTCAAAATAATGGGCCCGAAACTTTCTTTATTCATGTATTTCTTTCTTTCTTTTTGTCTCCATAACTATTTCTATTGAGGAAAGGGTAGCTTACTGTTTGACTTTAGGTATATTTTAGGATGGGCAGGAACGGTATCATATTTTTATTGTCTTGCTTCTTTCATTCTCAGACTACAGTGAAAGAATATTTGGTGACTTCTGCAAGGGGAATCTCATGATTATAGTAAAGAGAGTATCAGTAACAGGTGCTGAAAGTAATGATAACATTTATTTCAAGCTACAAACTTATGATGAGTCTTCTTACCTCTGCTCTTTCTTTGCTTCTTTATAACATAGAAATTGAACCGAAAAGAGACATGGTTTCATGAGAATTAAAATGTCTATTGGAATTGAATGTGAGGGAGGGATTTTAATTTTAGAGAAAGCAATATACAGGGATGGTTGGTTTAGTAATAAAAACTGGCTTTGCAGTTTTTCCATTCAACTTTTTCCATAAGTTGAAAGAACTAAAGATGTAGTATAAAGGCTTTGACATAAACATATTTGAGGCATCACCTACTTAGATGACTATAATACAAAAGTCAAAACAAGTGTTGTCAAGGACGAGGACAAATTGGGAATCCATATATATTTCCGATAGGAACATAAAATGATGCAGCCACTTTAGAAAACAAACTTTGGCAGTTTCTCAAAATGTTAAAAAATGAGATTTCCAGATGATCTCAAAGTTTCATTCCTAGATAATTGCTATAGTAATATCACTAAGCTCTTGTTATAGTGGCTAACCTCAAAAATATCTGACAATAACAAATGCTGTCAAAGATGCATAATAACAGAAACCATCATTTATTGCTGTTGGGAATGAAATATGCTATGGTCACTTTGGGAAACAGTTTGGCAGGTTTTTTTTTTTAATGTAAATAGACACTATACAAGTCATCAATCCTATGTCTAGATATTTATCCACGTATGTCAAAAACCTATATTCCCTCAAAATTCCATACACAAATGTTTAGAGCAGCTTTACTTATAATTACCCAAAATTGAATATCCTTCAACTGGTGAATGGATAAATTCTGATGCACACATAAAATGGAATATTCTAAAATAAAAAGAAAGTTATTCACATACACAAAAGTCCTACATGAAACTTAAATGTATCTTGCTAACTAAAAGAAGTCAGGCAAAAAAATTATGCAGTTATTGTATAATTCCATTCATACAGCATTTGAAAAAAGGCAGAAACCCCCACAAAAAACTATATGGATGGAAAACATGTCAGGGGTTCCTATGTGTTAGAGGAAGAGGGAGTGATCAACTATAATGGGAATACACAGGAGGATTATAGGTGTGGTGAAACTTTTCTATATGGTATGGAACTGGTGGATACAAGATTTTGTGTTCTTGTCAACATCAACAAAATTGTACAGTATAGAGAGTAAATATCAATGAATTCAAATAAAAAATGGACCAGGATGTTGCAGAATGTCAGTATAAAATGTAGCTGTGAAAAATAAACCTAACTGTATTACAACAAATGGTAAATCTCACTCTAGGTGATGTGGAAAAAGGAAGATAAATAATGTTGGCAAAGAGATTTCCAGTTTGTAAAATGAAAGACAAAAATAACTGTATATAAATATAATACTCTAGTTTGCAAGTTTATATATCACAGGCATATGGAGTACCAATTCTTAAACTACTTTACATGTATATTAGAGATGAGCCAATAAATAAATAATAGCAGATAATGGAAGTTTGGTTTCTCCCTGTCAGAAAAAGAAGCTGCAAAGAAATAAACAAAAACAAAAAGTAGGATGAACTTTGTGGTATTGGATTTAAAGTCAGAGATATTAATATGAACTCATACTAAGTTCAGTATACATACACACATTGATATGGAAATGATTTTAGATATGTTTTTGTTTGTGTGTGTGTGTGTATATATATATATATATATATGCTAGTTTTCTATTGCTACTGTAGCAAGTTATTATATATTTAGTTACTTAACACAATTTTGTTCTCAAACAATTCTGTGGGTCAGAGGTGCAGGTTGATTCCGCTGGTGTCTCCTCTTGGGTTTTACAAAACTAGCTCAAGGTGTTGGTGGCTGGATTTTCATTATGAGGCTCCAGAAAGAATTTGCTTCTTATCCCATTTAGGGTTTTGACAGAATCTGGTTCTTTGCAGTTATAGGACTGAAGTACCTACTTTCTCTGCTGGTTGCTAACAAGCCCCTAAAGACCATCTCAGGCTTCTGTCATGGGTTCCTGTATCTCAGGGCCAGCAATGGTGCACTGAATCCTTCTTACATTGGTATCTCTCTTAATTGCACATCTGCTCCATTTGTCTTCTGCTTTCAGTCAGAGAAAATTCTCCAGGTTAAGGACTCATTGACTCATTGGGTCAAACTAGATAACAGAGGATAAACTCTGTAATTAATTTTGGTAAATTGATTCTATCTGTAAAGTCCCTTTTGTCATGTAACATAATATATTCACAACTTCTGGGGAATAGGACGTAGACATATTTGGTGGACCATTATTCTTCCTACCAAAACATGATTTGTATACATACATTTTTCAACTCTGTTCATAAAAGAGCACAGAAACAGTGGAGAAGGAGCAAATCTTTCCTATAGAAGAATTCCAAATAATGTGTACAAATACTCTCCCCTACTGGTGGTGGAGCTTAAATAGTCCACTGCTTGAATGTAGTGATAAATAAGTTCTGAATATTCAAACTATTATTTGCCATGATTTATATATATTAGATATGAAAGATCTCAAAAGAAAATGTACTGTTTGCTTTTGCTGTAGGCCGAAAAGTCATTGTAGATTAATCCTTAAAATTAAGTTTTACAAGGGATTTCTTCTGATTATTAAATTAGCCTCACAGGCCATTTATATTTGAAAGTGCACCTTTTTCCTTTCTTTTCTTCCCCACTCTACCCTCGGAATGCGGTGCTCCTCTTTTAGCCCAGTCTTGTACGACTAGTTTGGGAGGCCAATCTTATCAAATCAAAACAAATCAAAACAAAATAAAACAAAACAAAACACCTTGTTAATGCTGAAGGAAAAGCAGCCATTATTTATGTGAAACCACCTAGGCATGGAAGTTACTGTCATGGCAATGGGTATATAAAGTTGCACATGAAATCAAAATTGCTAATCTGCTGATGAAAAATAGGGATAATATCCTAAATATCACGGATGTTTTAAATGTCTATTCACAGGGGTCCAAAAATATAAGAGAGTTAAAGAATTTAAAGTGTTACCTTATTAGAAGGATAACGAGTTATTACTTTGTCAATTGTTTGCTTTCCTTCCCGTTAGCATAAAATTTTATTTACTTCAACTTTACACACAAAATTTTGTAATTGTATATGTTTGTAGCATCAATGTGCTAAACATAAAATGAGAGAATGCAAAACAAAGATAATTTCTAAAAGACCCAGCTATCATGAGAATATAAAGAGTGTGCATCTAGAAGGGTGATATTGTGGATGTGCTAGTGTTTTATATACATTACTTGGTGTAGAAAATAATACAGAGGATGAATTGTCAAGAATTTATATGAGATAGAGCTTATCAAGAGTAAGAGAGTAAAATAAAAGTAATATGTGATAATTTTGACTACTGAAGAATGAACATTTATGATGTGAGGTCTTTTTGTTTTTTCCAGATACACAAAATCAATTTTCACCATTAAGAGGAAAAATAAAAGCAAACAAACCAACAAACTGCCTAGGCAAAGAGAAACTTCATGTCCCTGAAGAAGCCTCTAGCAGATTTAGATAAGAAACAGGCTCTGTTGAAACTCCCTAAAATCCCAAGAGTTTATCGATTTCTTTAGAAGTTAATCATTAGCTGATTACTGTGAACCAGAACTCGCTGTGTAAGTAATAGATTATGATTGGTTAAAAAGCACACAGCCCCAAATTGTTCAAAAGAATTTGTAACTTAAAGGAAAAGCAAGATTGATGTAATCTGAACACTTTTATGTCAGCAGTGGCTTAAAGGTCTGAACACTGATTAGGAAAATTCTGAGTAATGAGCACAAGACATGTAGTCATTATTTATTTTTGAGTTGGTGTCTCACTCCATCGCCCAGGCTGGAGTGCAGTGACACTCTTATGGCCACTCCATCGTTGACCTACTGGGCCTCAGCCTTCCAAGTAGCTGAAACTACAGGCCAGCTAATTTTTGATTTACTGTAGAGATGAGGGCTCACCAAGTTGCCCGGGTTAGTCTTGAACCTGGGAGAGGGGCGGGGTGGGGGTGGGGGAGTGCGCTCAGGCAATCCACTCACCTAGGTCTCCCAAAGTGCTGGGATTACAGACTAAGCCACCAAGTCAAGCCCATGTAGCCATTATTAATCAATAGTTAAGATAAGACATTGCCTGCTTTAACTATAAATACTGGATGAAACTTGCTCAAATAGGTCCTTGGTGAATATATGAGCCTGTTCTTAGATTCCTCAGTTTCAAAATAAATGCTTGTTTTCTACCAGCCTTCTTTGCATCCTGTGCCTGATTAACCGCGAGGGATAGCAGGTGATTTGTCTGTCAGACCAGATGAAAACACTTTGGCATCATCTTATTAGGAAGACTTGCAGTGT